AACAAAACTACTGTTTACAAGTGACAGCGCAAAGTTACCAGTGTCGTATTTAATGAATATTTCACCACTGAATGGACTTTGATTTCTAAACAATGAACTGGTATTGTAGTGACCCTGCAATGTGTCCTGTGGACATCTTACTATGTGCTGAATGTCAAAAACCTAACCACTGCGTTTTAGGTTGTTTTTTTTTTCCTTTTTTACAATTTGTTCATGTGATTTTGTTTAATATACAAGGACCTTTTGTCTGACGACTATGTAGCAGCCATTTAACATGTAGCACTTGGCTGAGCCTCCCCGTAATACACGAGTAATTTATTCCATTTAGTAGGGGGCAAAATGCCCATTTTAATATTTAAATGCTGTCGTAGCAAATGTTTGTCGACTTTCAGCTCTTAAATTTGAATTTGTGTGTGTAAACTATACAAAGACTCATTTTGGAACTGGTAGAGGAACAAGGTTTATAGAATATTGTTTGTTCTGGCACTGATTGTACGTTTGAATGTAAATACATTTACAACATGAGCTGTGTCTTAGTGCACCAACAGAGTAATAGAAGCATGTTTTTTGTTTTGTTTTTATTTTCTGTCTTTGCTGTTTTATCGCTCTCCCTTTCTCTTATTTAACCTCTCAGCATTTGTGATTGTCAAAAATGTAACTGTAGCGTAGGAGACCTAGAAAATGAAGAATGAAATAGTTCATCAATGTAATGTGATGCACAGTATGTTGATGCCTTTGATTTGTTCTTTTTGGGGGAGAGCAGAGTATTAAAATGTTTAAGAAAAGTGAGGGAAATCCTTGTGTTCATTTTAGTAGTACTAAAGTGTGTTTAGCTGCTGTATATTCAGAGCTAGTTTAATAGTTCAAAGCCCTGACTTACTTTTTTGTCATCACTTGTCTTTTCTTCAAACAACAATCTTCTCATCTTTTAAGACGCCACAAGATGTTACTTCTTTTTATATTACTTTTATTTTTGGAAATGAAAGAATCTTTTGGTAGTTAACAAATAAATTCAAAAGAGAAATAACATTGTCTGTTAAGCGATGAGAATATAAACTATAAAGAATGTTACAAACACAATAATTACAAAGCAGCAAAAGCTTTGTTCATTTACAGAAATATAACAAAACATTCAGTCATTCATGCACTGTATAATGAATTGCAGACAATTTACTGCAAACGTTTATCAGAATATTGTTCTAGACAAATAACAACAGGTTTAGTCAAGTCACACCTTGAAGTAAACATGAAGATTTTCTGTGATTACTCTTTGGCATTCGCAACAGTTTTTTGTTTTTTTTTATGCACATACATGCAAATCAGTCGTTTGATTCAAACTTCACGATGAGCAACAAGCTGAGGCATCATCAAGCCGGCGACCTCACTTCCTCATGAAGTGGGAAATGACATCCATGGGCAGGGGGAAGATGATGGTGGAGTTCTTCTCTGCTGCGATGGTGTTGAGAGTCTGGAGGTAGCGAAGCTGAAGAGCTGAGGGAGACTCGGCAATCACAAGGGAAGCCTCTTTCAGGGCACGGGATGCATTCATCTCACCCTCTGCTGCGATCACCTGTGCGTGGATCAAAACAGAGTGAGTGATCAGGAAATGCAAAATAAGTCATTTAAAAGTCAAAAGCGTGAAAATAATGCACTTCTAGGAAGTATTTCATGTGTGACATTTCCAGACCTTAGCCCTGGCCTCTCGCGCGGCCTCGGCCTCAGCGGCCATGGCCCTCTGCAGCTGAACCGGCAGCTTCACGTCTTTTATCTCCACACGCTCCACCTTGATCCCCCAGTTGTCTGTGGCTTCATCCAAGTTAGACTGGAAAAGTCAAGAAGACGAGATGATCACATCTACAGCTTACAGTGTAAATACACAGTATGTTTGGGAAACAGAGCAGATACTACGCACATCCGAGTCTTTTTTTAGGTATTAGAAATATGATGCCAAAAATAAAATGGAACTGGGTTTTTCATATTCAGATTCATCTAAAGGGGATTTTCTGGCTTCTGAAAAACCTCTAAAAACCACATCACACATTCAGGCTTCAGGTTTTATACCTGCATGCTGTGAGCGATGCCCTCGCGGTCAGACAAGACTTCAGCCAGGTTCTTGGTTCCCAGGACATTTCTGAGGGTGGTTTGTGCCAGCAGGCGTGTGGAAAAGTCAGCATTGGTAACATTGGCCACAGATGCGATGGGGTCACTGACGCGGAAGTAGACCACGCCATCTACGCTAACTGTAACTGAATCTTTGGTCAGGATCTATAAAAGAAATACATATACCAGCATGATGAGTCATTTTATAATGCTGCAAGGGGGCAATTTTACATCATTTTGTTGTTTGTCTACAATCCTACCTCTTGTGGTGGGATGTCAAATGAAATGGTTCGCAGATCCACTTTCACAAAGGAGTCAGTGCATGGCAAAACAAAGAAAATCCCTGCGGACAATGTAAATACAGTAAATACAAATTCTTTTGTCTAAAAACCCAACAAATGTGCAAACCCTGAGCGTTTCTACCTGGTCCTTTAGGCTTCCTGTCTGTGATGCGGCCCAGCCGGAAGATGACAGCTCGCTCATACTCCTGAACGATCTGCAAGACCACCAAAAACACAAGCTGAGTTCATGTTCACAGCAGCAAAGGAAGCTGTGGTTTCAGCTCCTCGGCCCACTGTGCTTATTTAGTTATCTCGCTCACCTTTAGACAAAACCAGATTGTTATGGGGAAGAGCAGAACTGTGAACAGGCCAGCGAGTATAATTATGATCCAGCCGCACGCTCCCAAAGATCCTGTGCGTTCGGCTAAAGATAGAGAAAAACAGAGACGGCATGTGTTTAAATGTGTTTGGCATACTTTGACACCCATACGTGGATGGAGAGGAAAGTTACCTTGTTATAAGTATTAGCTTTAATCATGCTTACATAGAAAATTGGATCTGATTCAGTGAGGTACACAAAGATCTTCTTCAAGCTCTAAAGCTTCAGCTGCTAAAAGATCAACAAACTATTCAAAAGTGGATTACGTGCCGACAATTGTAATGAATATTTTCCCACAGTTCATAATGGTCTTATTGTTGGCCTGCTCCTCACATTTCCAGCTTATCTTAAATGTTGGGTATAAACAAAATTTGAAAACACTCTCCCATGCTCTGTGCACACACTGAGATATTTACTCACGCAATACAATCTTGGGATTTCTGCTTTGTTTGTGAAAAGAGGCCATTAAAAACAGAGAAGGGTCAGTGTATTCCAGACTCATGGTGTACAGTCTTTCTCTGCGGTTTTGTGACGTGGCCATTAAACAATGATGTTTATCTTTATGCTGGATTATTAAGCAGCATCAGAGAAATGTTGTAATATTGAAGCGTAAGTCTCAGTTTTATGGCTAATTTATCTGCTTATTTTATATGTGAGCTGGTTTTCATTGGGAATAATAAAAATAAAATGAGCGCCTGGAATTGTAACAAGGCAAAAAAAACCCAAAAAAACTGACTAATCTGCTTAAATTTATTGTGGATCCCTTTGGAACTGGGGGTGAAATATTTTGGCTTTTTGTATCTACCACACAGGACACCTGAGGGACGGCTTTTAACCCTCATCTGCCAAGTAGGCCGCCACACAATGCAAAAGTGCGTGGGTGGAAAGCAGAGCACAGGCACGGGTAAATAAAAAGGCCTGTTTACACAGTTGTAATTCATATTTTCCTTCAGACAATTACACTCACACTCAGTTTTCCATCCCACAGTTTACACAAATGTTTAGTCATGCAATATCATCTCCTTAAAAAAAAAAAATTAATTTGGGAGGGGTGCTATGTGTAATAGGTTACACCTCTAATAACAGCATTTGAGCCTCTTTATATGGTTTACAATAAAGGCATTACAAGATGACTCCAATGTGAATCACTAAACAGGGCTACTATAGGATGATCTTAAGTATACTTTAATATAAAGTTGAGAGATGACCTTTATGTTGCTATTATGCTCTGTGGTATCTTTTCTGTGGTAAAAAAAAAAAAAAAAAAAAGGAGGTGTTGTTTATGCTTTCAAACAAGGGGACATCGATCAGTAACAGGAAACAGCTTCCTGTGGTTTGAATGTGTTGCTGTGAGACTCAGACCACTGTGCTGAAGTCTGCAGGAGTTTCAATCCACCTTGCAAACCCACCTCAGATGTTTCATATGTTCTATGGCTATTATTTAAAAGTTATATATTTTAAAAATAATACAAGATGATCATGTTATTTCAATCACAGCTTTCATTGTGCCTGTTTTTAATATCTGTATATTTCATTTTAGAGAAAAAATAATAAGCATACTTGCATACTTTTAGTTAAGTTGTAGAAACTTAGCTGAGACATTTAAGGAAATCTTAGCTGTCTCAGTACACTAACCGATCTCTGCACCCAGGTAATATTTTACCAACGGCAAAAATAGAAATGCTGCCCGCACAGCTATGCGTTTGGCATTATCTTGTCCGACAGGCTGGTGATAATAAAAACAATGGATAAAAAAGTGATATGGAAACAACCCCTTATCAACCCCCACATAAAGGACATTTCCATACATGCGAACATGACAGCGCTCCCTTTTCACCAGTGCACACACACATAAAAAAAGTCACATGCTTTGGGACTGTTTGTCTTGGTGGCATGTGATTTCTGTCACTATGACGATAGAGTCAAACTATAACCCTAGTCTGTTTAGCTGCTTTCCATCTCCACACCGACTATACAGATATAAAACTGATACTAAAATAACTCACAGAACAAGGATGATATTTTACATGTAATTGTTGGCGAACAATAACATTGTGCCTTGTTGGAGAAGGATATAACTCTGTTCTCGAATGAAGTAGTAGTAGTAAGAGTAATAGCTTACTTAACACAGCCAGTAACAGGATATCGAACCCTAAAAAAACGAAGTAATAATAATAATGATATTGAAAGTCAGCTTACATATCAAGTCCTCTTTGCTCATTCCTCTCCTCTTCTGGCTTTCCACCTGGTCTTCCATTTCCATATGCTGGTAAAACTGAGAGTGGTTAGTAGGAAGTGCGTTTAGACAGAGTTTGTTGAAGTGTGCCTGAACTAGAGCAAGTGCGCCTTTTAAAGAAGCCCTGCTGCAATACAATGTGGCTCAAGGTGTAGGCGTGGCTCTGATTCAGGGTCAATCATCGCCAAAGTAACAGAGTACTATCGTCATGATTCTTCCAGGTAAATGGATAATCTTAGAGGCTGTAAAATTATAGATAGCACTTGTAAAAAAAAAAAAGAAAAGAAGAAGAAAATAAAAATCCACGTGACATGTGTGAACCACATGGGAAACAGTACAGTATATCGATATATTTATTACTATAAACTTTTATTTCTGCTATGATGTTTACATAAAAAAA